TTAGTTTATTTGCTTAGTAATGCATGGCACCTACAATGTTATTAGTATTTTCAATATATATTGATATTATAATCTGAAAATTACACAATATAAAACTCATATAAAGATATCATGAAAAACTTACCAACGTCAGCCCGAATAGAATCAGACAGGTTAGAAAAAAGTAAGACATAAGAAAGAAAAAAGGCAGAAATAAAGCAAGGAAGGAAAATTACAAGAAATTAAAACTATAATGGAGGACAAAAAAGAAGAAAGAAAGGAATAAAGAACAGACTGAAATAAATAAATAAAGGAAGAAAGAAAGTGAGGAAAGTTAAAGAAACAGGAAAAAAAAAATGGCGGAGGGGTAGAGTAAAAGAAAATGAATGAAGGGACGAAAGGTTGAAGAGCGAAAGGGATAAAGACATTTAGGAAGAAAAAGGGGGAAAAAATGAAGGAAAGTAAAAGAAAGGCAAAAGATATAAATGAAGTTAAGCCAGAAGCAAAAAAGAAGAAAGAATGTAAGGGAGGAGAAGGAGAGAAAAAAGGAAGAAATAAACGATGGAAGGAGAGAATAACAGAAATAAAAGAGCAATAAAAATGAAAGGAAGAAATAAATCAAAGAGAAAAAGTTAGAAGAATGTAAGAAAGAAATAAATGAAGTCAAAGAAGAAAGGAATCAATGATGGAAAATTATAAAGGAAGGAAAGCGAGTAAAAATAGTGGAAGGAAAATTAGGACCGGAACGGTAAAAATGATGGAAGCAAAAATGGAATAAATAATGGAAAAAGAAAGCAACGAAAAAGTAGAAGAAAGAAGGAAAGAAGGTGGAATGAAGGGAAGAAATAAATAAAAGTACGAAAGAGAAAAAGAAATAAAGTTAGCAAAGAAATGAAGAACAGAAAAGTAGAAGAAAGAAAAAAAAAACTAAATCAAGGAAAGAAAGGTCGAAAAATGTAAGGAAGAAAGAAACGAAAAATGGAAAGAAAAAAACAGTAGGAAATGAAGTCAAGGAACTAGGGGAAGAAAAAAATCAATGATGGAAAATTAGAACGCGGAATAAACAAACAGGACAAAAGGCTAAAAGAAATACAAATTAAAATAGAAAGGTGAAAATAAAAACAGAAATGATAGAAGTAGAAGAACAAAAGAAAAGTAAAAAGAAAAGAAGGAAAATATTTGGAGGAAATAAAGGAAGAAGAAAGAAAATAACGAAGAAATGAAGGAAATGTAGAAAGAAAGGAAGAAACAAATGAAAGCTGGTAAATTAGAAGAAAATATGTTCGCGGGAAAAAAAATATGGGAGACGGGAAGGTCAAGAGAATTGAGGAGAAGTAAATGAAGGACATCTTCCAGAAAAAAATTACCGGGAAAACCATAAGTGCAGTGAGAACAACTTCATAGGAGAAAAACAAAAAAGCGTAGAGAAAATAACAAAGTTATAAACAGCAAGTAAAAATAAAACACTCCAAAAAAAACAAAAAAAAAACAAAAAAAAAACGAATTGGAATTTGCATTTGAATTATTCACAAATGGAATTGGTATGTTAAAACAAACATGTAACTTTTTTGCGTTTTGTCCAGAATTATTTCACGAATTGATTTTTTGCAAATTAAGAGAAAGACAATGAAGTTCAAACTTTTCCCGAAGATCAATATTCGACCAGATTCATTAAATCAACACTTCTGCATCATTTTGAGTCTGTCACAAAAAATATGCAGACAAAACAAAGTTCGTATTTTTTCTTCTCTTAATTTCTGGTTTTATGCCATATCGAGAATAATATTGATTAAAAACACTTTGGGGAAAATTCACTTCCTTAACCGGTCATATTAATATGTATTTGTACACACACATACTAATACCCGTACACTCATATAAATATACACATACACCGTAAAGAAAATATGATTTTGGACTTACATATACATACACACGCTTAAACTTGTATTCACTTGTACGAGTGGGTCATTCTGAATGTAATGATTCCTATTTTATTATATTGGAACATGAGGTTAGATGATGGACCTCGCCACTAATAACTTACTTGTATTTTAAGTGTTACAGATAGACGTCTGACAAAATGGCGTCTGAGGGGTAAATATGAGTAAAGTTTATTCTGTAGGTTACATGAAAACACTGATCGGGCTTGTACTTTAATTTCATGAAACATTGGTCGTTTTTATGCTTTAATCGATAGGTAAACCTTGTTCAAGTATACACATAAATCCATAAGTAAACATTGTTTAGGGTTATAGTTGAGTCTATAGATAAACTTTGGTCGAGTTTATACTTGAGACTATAAATAAACATTGATCGTGCTTATACTTGAGACTATAGATAAACATTGATCCGATATATATTTAAGTATGTAGGTAGACATGAGTCCCGTTTATAGTTGAGTTTATTGGTTTATATTTAAGCCTACAGGTAAGACTTGCTCCTGTTTATACTTGGGTATATATATATATAAACAGTGGTTGGATTATATTTGAGTCTATCAGTAAACAATGGTCCGGATTTATACCCGGGCCATCGAGCAACCATCTGGAATTTAGCCTTTTATTCCCAGGGATGGTTTACATGCTTTAGCGTATTCCAAGCCCAATCAAAAAGCAATATATATATATATATGACACATTAGTCTAGTTGGATAGTTACATAGGTAGCTAGAGAAATCGCTCCAATTAGTATGGCATAATACCAAACAGAGGCAAAAGAGGATTTATTTATATTAAGTGCCAAACTTTCAAGTGGATAGGAATTTAAAGCGATTTGTCATTTTGTCCTGGAATGAAAACATTTGAAACATCATTTGGCATTTATATTCTATCATTGGTTTATAATAATTCTCTAATACATACTGGATAGCTTACCGTAATGTGTTAGTTACTAAATTTGATTAAAGATTAATTTAAGACATTTCAATATCACAGCGAATTCCATCGTAACTAAACGCCTTAAAACTAAAATTGGTATTCCGTGATATTCTCAGTCTCTGCCTGCAGTAGCACATATCTGTTATTTTAAGTTAGGAATCGGAGAGCCGAGTTCGAATTCTAGTCGGATCCATTACATTCACTTACGTGCTAATACTCTTGAGAAAGGTAAGAATCCTCTTCTTACCCATCAGATATGGGTAAATAGCAAGACAGACTAGCTTTTACAGCATTGGGTGGCAACCGATCTAGGAGGAGATAATTCAATTCTAAACCTGCCTGGAGAGGGTTGTGATCCGTCAAGCTATCTAACCAAAGAAACGCCACTTCTACTTATGCGATACCCTACGACCCTGATGAGTCACGGAATTCGCGATCGCCATATAAGGTGACTGATACTACATGGTTGTTTGGTACTCTATTCTTTGTTTCTAACGAAATGATCCTGTTTCTTTCTTAATAATTTGTTTCACTCTTCCAATACGCTTTCCGAATTCTTTACTCGTCTTTTAAAGCACTTCCCTGTTAGTTATATTTGTGTACTTTTGACATCTCCAATTTGTATCTAAAATCTTGGGCTCTCCCTTTTGCTAACGACTATGTCTTATAATACTATTTAGTAGGAAACAAAGCAGCGTAGAACTAACACGGTTAGTATAGACTGATAAGTAAATCTGCCTGCCACTTATGTAGAATTGGTTCCATTTTTATGATATAGCAGTGACCTATCATCACCTTGGATGGGAGACAATCAAGAAGAAAAATATAAATTTAAATAAGTGCCGTGAAGGGTCAAAAGGTATTTGTTGTGGTCAGTCTTTGCAATTAATTCTTCAAGAGCCGTTCTAGATCTCACTTTACCACTGGATCATAGAGAGGAAACCAAAAGCATGGGATTGGACACTGTGTGACTCTTTGCTCATCTAAAAACTCCCTTCATATACACTGTTCATTATTAAAATCATCATCTCTTAGGATGAATAACAATGATCATATAGGATGAGAGTTCAAGTATTGTCAGAAACTGAATTCTTGAAACTGAATTCCGAAGATGAGAAATGCCAAAAAAAAAATGTGATGCTTTTTTATTTTTATCAGACTGGCTTTTTTTTTTAACCTTCATCTTTGTCTCTTTTTCATTCTTAGTTTCATGCTTACGTTTTACATCAAATTTTCCTTTTTTTTCTTTCTTTCTTTCTTCATCTTGTATTTAATTTTATTTGCTTTTTATTTCTTAATCTGGTATTTGACATAATTTAATTTTTATTTCTTTCCAGTTCATTTATTCATTCATTGTGTCTTTTTTAATCAGGTATGCGACTTTATTTGACCTTTCTTACCTTCATTCTTTCTTAATTTCGTATTCGATGTTATTTGCCTTTTCTTTCTTTCTTCACCTCGTATTCGTATTCATTTCCTTTTTTCTTTCTTTCTTTTTTAGTTAATCTGGTATTCAACTTTATTTAATTTTTCTATCTATCTATCTATCTATCTATCTATCTATCTATCTATCTATCTATCTTAGCTAAACTGGTATTTCACTTTATTTAATTTTTCTGTGTGCCTTTCCTTTCATTCACTAATTTATTCTTTTTTTCTTCATTTTCAATCTGGAATTCGACTTTATTTAACTTACCTACCTACCTTTCTTTCTTTCTTTCTTTTTCTTTCTTTCTTTCTTTCTTTCTTTGTACCAGTAAATAAACAAATAAAAAAATTGCTTTCTTGGGGCGAGGGCAATTTTTATTGGTTTCAGGCAGGCTTTTTCGTGTTGGAGAATTATCAATGATTATCATCACGAAATGGACACCAAAAATAGAATTGCATGTCTTCTGATGTACTTTTGAACATAATCTCCCCGCTTCAAACCAATCTCTCTAGTGCTACAAAGCATAACCAGTAAAAATAAAATATCTCTTCGTAGTTCACAGATATTTGCAAAGATCTAGAAAATATTTTGAAAATTTTCATCGAAAATTTCAATAAATATAAGATAAGGTTAAAATATAAGATAAGGTTAAAATATAAGATGAGATTAAAATATAAGATATGGTTAAAATCTCAAATAAAAGAAAAGAACAAATGTTCTGTACAGTTTCTTGTTCTTCTTACAAGTGGATTTTCATGGCATCACATTTTCTCGGTAAGAAAATATCAGAAAACCATATCTTAACCAAAGCTTTGTGAGTGAATTTGGGCAGACGTAACTCTTTGGAAGTCATTGATGATTGTGCAACTATGAAGTCAGAAGTTATTGTACCCAAGACTTTAGGCATTCCTTAACAACTGATCAAAGCAAATTATACGCTTTCCCAGAAACTATAAGTAAGAATTACTTAGGATACTTTCAGCACGAGCCACAAATTGGCTCTGTGGGTGGTGAAGAAGCATAAATTTGCCCGAGCAGACGTTTTCATAAAGGGCTTTGCTGGTTAACCTAGTAAAGACGTTACATGAAACCAAGCAGCTATTATTATTATTATTATTATTATTATTATTATTATTATTTCCTTACATATCTGTTGTATGCACATTTCATTCCGGGTCCTCACTAGAGACCTAAGGCCAGAAATGGCTTCATGGCATTTTCCCCTGATCATTTTGTAAAAGAAAAAAAAAAACAAGATCACATACGCTTTACATAGATAAAGCTCGTCTTAATGTATGAGCTGTAATTGTGAGTAACATTTGCATTTCTTTAAGTCGTGGACTACCAGGAATCTCTTCAATGAGTCTATCGGAACCTTTTCTAATCAATCCGAAGTCTCCAACTACAATTGGAATTACTTATGTCCTCATCTGCCACATTTCTGAGATTGCCACTTTATGATCCTTGTATAGTCATAGTTATTATTATTTTTATTAGCACTTAAGAGCGCGATTTCGACACTATGTTTGTTTTCAAGTTATATTTTTAAAATCAGTTTCAAGTATAAAAAGATATGTACATTTAAAAAAAGTTATAAGTCTTTGTTCAAATTTTACTTATCTTGTAATGAAAGAAAAAAAGAAAAGAAAAAGTAAAACGGGTGTACTGTTAATCAACGCGTTAAAACGAACGAATCCCAGTACAGCCGTTTTGTTCATTACAGAATAAGCAACGTTTGTACAAAGAATTGATATATTTTTTTATCTTTGAAATTTTTAAAAAATATGACTTGAAGAAGACAGATAAACTGTCGAAATTTTGTTGAATTAAATCGCCCTCTTTTTTAGTGTTGAAAAATATTGGAAGAGTTTTTGTCAATCAGTTTGTTTATTATTAGTATTATTATTATTATTATTATTATTATTAGATCGATTTATCTTATCGGGTGTTTGGACTTTACTGTTGGAAACTGTATGGTCTGAAAAGTTTGCATTCTTTCTCGAACCTTTACTTCATCCACTCTTAATTCTAATCTTTTGACAATGTTTCATATGCGTCAGTTATTCTATTCCCGACGTCAACCATCAAGTTAATTTGTTTCCTCAAGTGTGAGGTCCTGGTATATATTTTCCAAGTTTTTCACTTTCCTGTTATCTTTACTTCATTTTAGACTAACTGAGCTACATCTTTAATCTGCCAGATCTTCGTTTTCTTACTTGAATTTTTCATCTGGATGCCCAAACCCTAGAGTATCTGATTCGATTTTATTTTCATTGATATCACTTTCCCAGATTTATTATGTTTTTTTTTCTCTTGAGAAACTATTGCATTTGTTCATGACTTGTTTTGCCGTCCCATATTTACTTTAAAATGGCGGCTAAAACGTCTTTAAAATTATTTCTTTTACTTTTCGAGTCAAATTCAATCCTGATCATATTAATCTGAATATGCCAGAGGAAAGTAAATGTACACCAATATATACCTGAATATTACAAAATCGGGCTTCAAACATAAGCTGTAAGGAACTAGTGATAAGGAAGTAAAAAAAGTTATAAAAAATCCAAAGAATAATGAAATCTGGCATTGAAGTTGAACGACTGATAGTAGCTTATCCTCTACCCGAGTTTAAAAGAAAGTTTCCCGGTTACTCAATTTCATAAAGTGCGTCAGGAATCAGAATCGCGCCCCAAAGCTAGTGAACTTGACAAACCTATTTTCATGCAGAAACCTATTTTCATGGAATATTGAAATATGTTTTATAGTTCAACCGACACTAGCTGTTCGGTTAATAAATGTTTCCTTATAAGGAAACAGCTAATATTACCATTACCCTATTTATGCTTTGATATATTTTGGCTTAATACATTTAAAAAAAAAATGTTTTAAGCCAAACTTAGTATCTATCTATCTATCTATCTCAGTCTGTCCCTTATCTATCTATCTATCTATCTATCTATCTATCTATCTATCTATCTATCTATCTATCTATCTATCTATCTATCTCAGTCTGTTCATTATCTATCTATCTATCTATCTATCTATCTATCTATCTATCTATCTATCTATCTATCTATCTACTTTTTACACTGATATGCTGCCCTTCATTTGCATTCCTTATGTTTTCACTCTTTTTCCTTAAACATTCAATTTGTACATTAAACAACCGTTTAGGTTGAAAGATTGACTTCAAACATTCCTTACCGCCCGATTGGTTATGAACGAACTCAGACACATTAAAACTACGTTGGTTAATGTTTTTTAAGCTATCATATTATTGAATATTTTAATTGAGAAGTATTTTTTCTTTAAACATGAATAGAAATATAGTTGTACCAGTGCAAGGAATGTGTGTTAAGTATTTTATGCAAAAAACAAAAACTATGCTGTAAAACTAGCCGTATTACATTTTTGACGTGATTTAATGTAAAACAGAAAATGTCTTGATTTAAAATAGTTCTATATCTATTACTAAATTCTTTATCTCTACCATGGCTGTGTAGTATGCAGATGCAATGTTGTAATTAAGTATTTTATTCTATCAATTAAGTAAAGAAGACACTTGGACCGGAACTTGAAATTCCAATTCATTTAGATTATAAATTCTCATACAGATTTTGCATTGTTGCAAATCTTTGACCCATAAGAGAATAACTGCTTCCAAAGTTGCTTTGGTTGTTCTTCTGTTATTAAAAGTAATTGGGATATGATCATGAAACTCAGTATTACAAGTTGTTGCTCAAAATATCAAGGAATCTGAATAAAGCGTATACGAACTGAAAATATTAATAGTAAGGGTGAGATAAGGGTGAGTAGGCAACAAGAAAGGTTTTAAGGAAAATTGAAACAAAAAAGTACATTTGTGCTTAGAATCAGTAAGAGAGAGGTGTAATATTCTGGGACCATAATAAGAAAAGACGGCTTGGAGAATTTGAAACTCACATGTTATATTGAAGATAAGATGGGGGTCACATCGAGTAACCTTTGTAACGATCTTGTGTAAATAAATGGTGTAACATGTCTAAGGAGGGATAGTAAAGAGACAAAAATATTTAGAGTTAGAAAGAATGAGAAGCTGATGAGAGCCATGACCGCTCACCACCTGAAGGGACACGGCACGTAAAAGAAGAAAAATGGTATTTTTAGCCATTTCTAAAAAGGAATCATTCCGTGTTAAATGACCGAACAATTAGTGTTAATTTTGGCAGATATTTATAAAATCTTTTCTGAAAACAGTTGAATAGTATAGTTAACTGTCGGAGAGATATCTTGTCATTCGCATTTAATGCTTATTCCTTCTTTGAAATTTATGCACTAAACTTACATTAATCTTGGCATAAGGTTTCGTTATTATGGTACCTAATAAGAAGCCAGCACAATGCCCTATCAAACTGATTTGCTTGACTTGCTTACTAACCATGTACCGTTATAAGGAATGTAAAAGGCGATAGTAGTTAATTGTTATTGATAGATAAATGTCCAACCCTTACCTCACAGTCGGTGTGGGGGGGTGTAAACGGTAGTGTCAGAGCTATGCCGCCCGGAACTTTGTTCCTGGTAGGGCCACCCAAGGCGGACAGGTCTGACACACACGCCGGCTAACAAGGGCTCTGGTGAAAATCCAAGGAGCGTCTGCATCGGTAACCGGCGGCTTCTGGTCGTTCCTGTCTCTGCGTCTGTGGGAACCCCGCGGCAAGCAAGAACGTTATCCGGGTAGGCCTGGGTATCCTACTTCTGTAATTTATCCCAAGAATCTTCTTCTCATAACAGGAAGAAGCCGGCTCAATCCGCCCAGGGTGAATGCCGCATCAGTACAGTACAGATAGATAAATGATGAAGGTGTGTGTGTGTGCGTGATCAGCTTAAACTTAAACGATTATAGCGACTCTGGTGGTATAATCACAAACGAAGTTATGTAAAAAAGAATAAAAAAAAAACGTATAAAACGGAAATCAAGAGCTGAACAACTTGTCGGTGATATATGGTGGATATTCATCTTGAAATGGCCTGATAAAATCGTATCAGGCTAAAAATGAAATCATTGAAAAGGACAATAATATTTTTCAGATATCCTGCGTAGTTCCTATATCTTATTGTTTATTAACAAGGATATTTCGACTGAGATAGCATTTTTATTCAGTTGCATTCTTTGCAATTTCGACGATTTTCTCAACTCATGTGATCGACAGAGCTCTCATTCCCCACCCAACAGAATCTTAAAACCACCTTAAGCGAGATAAAAATTACCATGTTGTACGATAAAACATATTACGAAGGCTTTTAATATTATTTGTTTTAAAAATCTTTGTGAAGTTTCAGATTGCTAGCTGAATGCATTGCAACAAAGAAATCATAAAGGAAAAGTTAGCTTTCTAGTTTTTTTTTAACAGAATTTGTTGATGAGTTCCCCTGAGCATTTGGCTGTATAAAAAAATATCAGAATGAACGATTTTTCATTTAATTCTGACAATGTAGGCGCGACATTTGATAAACAGTTTCTCCGGATTAGATTATTATCAAATTTCATTTCAAAGTTGTCGTTTTGCTATTTTAGTTTCTATGTGCTTGTTTTTCTTATTTCTCATTGTTACCATTTCTTCATTTTAAGTTTCTTCTGTTTCTTCTTCCTTTTCATTTTCTCTTTTTCACTCTTGTTCCTCTTTTTAGACTTCGTTTTATTTGTTCTATATTTTCGATTTTCACCTTTTCCTTCGTTCTTTTTCTTTTATTTGCTCTTTCCTTTCGTTCTTCCGTTTTTAATTTAATAAGATCCTTTGTTTATTTTTTTATATTCCTTTTCCTCATTATCAGCTTTCGTTTTCAATTCGTCAGTTTACCTTTCAATTTTTACTTTTTTAACAGTAATTTTATGTCTTCTGCATTTCTTTAAGTCTCCACTCACTTAATATCCGTATTTTCTTTTCCATTTCCTTCCAGCGAAAAATCCCTTTTTAGCGTTTTCATTTTAGCTCCATCTTTTAAAGAATTTTATTTCTCCCCAGACCTCATATATATGTTATTACTTTCCTCGCTCTTTCCTCACTTACTTTATTCGCCATTTGCTTCTTTACTTAGCATCTATTTCAGTTTAGTTTTCTCTTCGTTCTTATTCTCCGTCCCTCCTATTTTCTACTCGACTTTCGTTTTTTATTCGATTCTTCTTACTGTTTTCCTGTGGCAATATTCAAACTTAATTTCTTAATCCTAAACTCGATTTGCCGTCATTGTACTAAACCATTTCTTTAGTGCCGTCAAATATTACCGCAACATCACCCCAACATTTACGCAAATGTACGTTTTAGATGCCACAATTCATCTGCTTTAGTATCTAAAACAAACTTTTAATAAAATATTATTATTATTTGTAAACAATTCAATTGACATGTCTCCGTAATATGTCAATACTTTTCACAGTACCGGAGCTGATTTTAGTAATGCAGTCGTCAGAATAATTTTGATTTATCTTTTATCTTTGGGGGTTTCAATCTTTCTATTCTAGTTGCAATATTATTTGATGGGCACAACTATAACTTTTACGATACACAATTTCTTCAATTCTCTGGCAAAGCACAAATCATTGATAGACAGAAAACGTTTATCCGAGAAAGCGTAACGAGTTACTCTCCTGAAGGTTGACATAAGCCATACTGATGTGCCTGTCAGATGATTGACAGAGAGCAGTTTCGTTTTGGAGGCTTCCAATTAACAATCTATTTGTTACCCCAAGTTAACAGCAGATTGTAGATCATTTATGAGTTCAGCTGCCAATTTGACCGTATTGAACTGATCAGACTTACTAATAAGACAAAAGAAAAAGCGTGTATTATTTGCATAGACATCGAGTTGAGAACTGATGTCATCAGGATGCTTAATGATGAAAATTGGGAATAGTGTAGATCCAAGTATAGGGACCTGGGGAAAACTGTTTTTGTACAAACCCTTCCAACAAAAACGAAGCGAATATCTTCTACGCCAAACGAGTAAAACAGAAAGCAAAACTTGATGAAATTACAAAACAACTTGGAGGACACAACTCTGCATGGCAAATACATAAAAGGAAAGAAAAAAGGAGATGTGAACCAATAGAAAAAAATAAACTCAGTGGCTGAAGAGCACCGGGTTGAAAGCTGAGACAGAAATCCTAATTATTGCAGAAGAGGACCAAAGTCTCGCGACCAGATCCTATCACTGTCACATAATCAAGTATGGAACTCACCCGAAAACCAGGATTTGCGGAAAATATGATGAAACTGTCGACCATATTATCCTGGGATGTCCGGAACTAGCAAAACATGAATATACCCACAGGCATAATAAGGTAGCGACATATGTGCACTGGAAGATCTGCAAAATCACAAAATCGAAATCACTGAGAGATGGTATGAGCACCAACCAGGCAAATTTACCCAAAATAACGATGTAACTATCCTCTGGGATATTCCAACTCAAACTGACAGAGAAATAAAAGCCAACAGACCTGATATCAGCATAAAAGACAAGAAATTCAGGAAATTTATGCTTATTGACATAGCAGTGCCATCTGAAAGAAACACCCCATTGAAAACTATCGAGAAATTTTACAAATACAAGAACCTGAGGATAGAGATTAACAGGATATGGGGGATGAAGTCTGAGATTATACAAATAGTTATCGGAGCTCTGGGCCTCGTAAGAAAAGGAATGGACAATTTTGCTTGCATTGTCCCAGGTAGCATCAACATAAAAGTTGCCCAGAAGATCGCCCTACTAGGAACATCCCATATGCAAAGAAAAAAATGCTCTCAATTAAATCACAATAAATGACAATTCTTCTATAGGGCCTAAAGACCATAGTTTGGATTCGATTTTACAGGATACAAAAAAGGAACATAACATACATAAATAACAATAATAATAATAACAATAATAATAATAACAACAACAATAATAATAATAATAATAATAATAATATTAATAATAATAATAATAATAATGAAGGTAAGGATGAATATCTTGATGCTGAAATAGGCATGGATTTTACGACTTCTAATCTTCATTGATGTGAGGTTCTAACATATACATATTTTATCTTGGTGACTTAATATTTCAAATATGACTATTCACTAATACTAACCTTTAAACTAACAAAATATCGAATTAAAAATAGATCCATTAATTCCTTAAATACATATACATATGTATGTATGTATGTATGTATATTACTCGTATGTTTAAGAAGTGGAGGTAAAGAGAAGATACGACCAGGGTGTATAACTTCATTCCTTATCTTCTTTGTATCTCTACCCCTAGGGTATAGCTTCCGAAGTTTTTCGATTAACATTACTCGTCACTCACAAAAGTACAATCCAGGTGACTTCCCAACTGGAGACACTGCAGACTCTTCACACATTCGACACGCCATCAAAACTATTCCTCAGCATATAACATCATATTTCGATATGGGTCTACCGTAAAGTCTTATGCAATGATTGTATGTTATTATTGATTAAGAGAACACCATACGAGACGCTGGAAGCGAAAATCGCATCGCAGCTCATGACGTCACACATGACCACGCGAGAGTGAAAACGAGAAGTATTAAGTATGGGAAGCCGTTGGTATAAACCAATGGCTTCTGTTATCAATTATAGGCGTTTAAGTATATTTATGGAGATTTCATAGTTTATTTTGTTCAGGTGAGGTTTCAAGAATTTTTAGTTTTTGTTTATTGTTTTATCTTCAAGTATAGTTGTGTTTTCAACGAGGATTTTCCGGAATTGTGTATGCGGCCAGGCATGTTGTTTTAAATGCCTAAAAATATTAGAGTTATCATTCAAATGTAGAGTCAAAAGTCGTGAAACGAGTTTGTGGTGTGATCAACATAAATATTATTTAATCCGTTGGAGATACACTCTTATGCACAAATTTGTCGTTGCTTCGAAATCTTCCATGTAAACAAAAACAGACTATCATTATTGTTTTGTCCGTGTATTGTTAATATATTGTAACGTAATTCTCATTATGATAATGGGTTATGTAAGCCGAAAGCTTAGGATTAAAAAATATGTATCAATATGGTGATTTTCTTTTGTCTTTTAATGATAATGTTATTATGCCTATTAGACGATATGAAAAGAATTTACATAAAATAAATAGAGAAATATATTATTTAATGAAATTGCATCAATATATATATATATATATATATATATATATCAGACATTGAGGTCAACACCCACCGGTGACAATTTGTTTCATGTTTCAACACAATCTTCATAGCTTGAAGATATATATATATATATATATATATATATATATATATATATATATATTTATATATATGCTATATGTGTGTGTGTGTGTGTGTGTGTGTGTGTGTGTGTGTGTGTATATTTGGGTTTTAAAATATATATATATGGGTATATATGTTTTTAAAAAAATAAAATCCATCCTCAAAACTAGTGTCGGTAAAAATGTAAAATTCTATTCTACGTAACTTCAAGTCCCCCTTAAGACAGCAAAAGACCCCTCTTTCAAAAAGGAGATAAGCATCTTCCTGTGTCGCTAGAACTTTCTAAAATAGACATTCTTATAATTTAGAAGAATTATTTTTTTTCTATCAAGTTTAGAAGGTTTCCACTAGAAGATGTATATTTTTTCTGAAATTTAACATAGTTTTAGACATAACTGAAAAATACAAATACTTTATTGAGACAGCCACGAGAGATTGTGAAGAGACGGGAAACTTAATGGAAAATCTATTGATAGCTGACACAGTGTACTTAAAGAAACGATTGAACGAAAGAAAAAATAGTTTCTTCACATGAAAATTGCATCAATTATGTCATAATTTACAGGAGTTATTTCATTGTGGCTGCTTGCAAAGTAATTGTGAAACACAGAGACAGACAATTTTCTCTCATCTAACTTTTTAGCGTTTCTAATCGATGGCATTCAGTAAATCGAACAGAGTACACCGATATGAAAGTATTTTACTTTCAAAACCAAGTTTTACTTCTTCATTTGCATTCATCCTTGTTTAAATTGAAGGAAATTGGGTGGAACACTTCTTTACACAATGAAATGACCTTTGAACGTCTATTGGCTTCAAATAGAAACGTCGTGTATATATATAGTGAATAGTAAAAAATAGGAAAACAATTAACAATACTAGAGAGATGTTTTTTTAGAGAAATTCAATGTTGGTAGAGGCTTCAAATCCTGAAGCAATCAATGTGGATCAATCTCATTGAACATACCTTGCGCGAACATTATGATTATCGTCTGTGACCGTCGATCTATACTAAAGGAATATTTTACTAAGAAATCGTAGTCCAGTTAATTATCTTTTACTATCTTTGTAAGACGTCAGCCATGTTTTATTATTTGAAAAATATGTTTTAGTTTTTATTCTCCGAGAAAAAAAAAATGTATATACAGAGTGCAATGTTGAAATTACGCAAAAAATGAAAATAATACTGAGATCTTATTTTAACATATTACGCAAAAAATATATTGAAGTGCTAAAGTGAATTTATTCATTGAAATCGCCATTGGCTTCAACCGCGGCCTCCAGACGACTTCGAAATCACCTGTATCTCTTCTAGGCAGTCACCTTGTTTTTTTTTTTGTTTTTTTTTAAGCATTACGCCCCGAGCAAGACATGAAGCCACTTAGGATGCAGGGGGTTGCAGAAGATTTGGAGCAAGGGCAGATAGGAATGATTGAAGAAAGGATGAGGAGAGGGATAGTGGGTAGATCAAGGTAACTGGAGATGTCAATTGACATTACATTTGAATAGTTGGAGATTATAGCTCTCAGGGAAACAGTAATAGGGAAGGGTGTTCCACAGGCGATAGATGCAAGGTATGAAGCTATTGGAGTAGAAGAGACGGCTACATTTAAAAGTTTCTATAGTGAAAGGGTGAGAGCGGGATGCCAGCCTCGTAGGACGCTTGAATTCAGGAAGTGTGGGAACCAGTGAAAGCAGCTCATCGGAGAAATTACCATGAAAGTACTTTTAAAAAAGACGAGACAACTGTAGATGAGACGCCAGATCAGGGCCAATTATATTACATATCCGCCTCTGGATCTTGTCAAGAACTCCGAGGTAAACAGAAGGTGCACCAGACCACATATGGCAGCAATACTCCATGCAAGGGCGAATGATTGATTTGTATATTTGAAGTATCGATTCCGGGGAGAAAAATTTCCTAAGTTGGT